TCTCTATTAAGCCAAACATTAAAGAAATTTTCCAAAATGTAATGCAATGCCACTCTTTTCATTTTATTTTGGAAAGCATAGTTATTTTTTCATTAAAACTACAGCTTTATTATGGGTTTGTTCTTTTTAATGTTTTTTTTAATTTCTCCATTTTAATTTCTAATAAAGTAAATATTGATAAATATAACTATACTATCTATATAGCATTATCTATAACATTGATAAATTTATCCATAATATTGATAAATATAATCATTTCTTCTATAAACAAAAGCCCTTTGGGGTTCTCAATAATGTTTAAGAATGTAAAAGGATCCCCACACTAAAAAGAATGAGAGCCATTGGCATGGGAGTTGGAAGTAATTTAAGTACCCAAAGCTAAGATTTACACCATAAACAATAGGCTAAAAAGAAAATAGTGGAAAGCCAGACTACACCTCCCCTCCACCACCTTCCTACTCTACTCCCAGAATGGAGTTGCCTGGCTGGAGATGAAGAAATACTGCAAAGAGAAAACAAAGGTAAATACAAATTTGGATTTTTTTTTTCTCCCCTGCCTTATTCCTTGACACCAAGCTGAGCCCTGAATGGAGGATGAGAGAGCTTTAAGTCTAAAGATCAAACAGTAGAGAAAGCTGCACCCTACTTCCCATTTAAAACTCTGCAAAGTAGCAACCTCCTCCATGTAGTCTGCCCACCAATGGTGAGGGCTCTCCCGCACCAAATAGTAGAGATAGCTTGTAGTATCCTAGGTATAACATCCTTGGTTTGCACAGGTTCCACAGTGGCACAGGAGAACACATAAAAGTTCCATTTCTCCAGATAAGCTGTAGGAATCACTAAGAACAGCCTTTTAAATCCAAAGGGACCCGGCAGCTGGTACAAAGAGGGTATATAATAACCTGCACCAGTTGATGACTACAGGCCATGGGAGGAGCCTAGACCATGAAATCTAGAGACCACTTTACAAAGACTGACCAACCCTATTGAGGTTCCTCCAATGCTAGCAGAGGAGAGATGATGGCTGAGGCCAGATGTTACCCTGCCACTTCATGTCCAATACCATGACCACCTTTGGAAGAAATGGAGAGAAGAATCTTCATTTTGACTGGGTTTTCCTAAAATATTTAAAAATTGTTAAAGTTCTGAATCATATCATGAATAGGGACAATTATTAAAAACTAAAAGAAAGCGATATTTTGAACAAGTTGTGAATTATGGAATTTTTACCTACTACATAAGCATTACATTCCAGGTCCAATTAGCAACAACGGATACTCAGGAGAAAAGGGCAATCAGCTGGGGTTGAGGCTAGTGATAGGCTCTGTCTCGGCTAAGATGACCCAGGGTACACACAGTGATGTAGTTGAGTCTGCAACTGAGGCACATCTGAAGATTATGATCTTCCTCCAAAAAAACCTATTCCATTCTGTGGTAGACAAGCTCTAAGAGTGATGATCCCCTTATATGATCCTATTTCCTTGAGTGTAGGCATGAACCGTGAATACTATAGGATAGTGAATCCCTTCGTTAGCACACCCCACATTCGATCTGTCAAGAAATCCTGTTAGCTCAATCTTCACTTCTATCCAAAACCAACCACTTCTCACAAAATCCACAGCTGCCACCTCATTCTAAGATGCCAAAGTCTTTATCCTGATTATCCTCCCTGCTTCCATGTATCTGTACTACAATCTGTTGTCAACTGAACATCCAGGGTAATCCTTTTACAAAGTAAATCACAACACTTTAATTCCTACAATAGCTCTCCTTTTCACTCAGAGTACCTGCTACGGTCCTTACAGTGGCCTACGAGGCCTTACATAATCTGGTATCCACTGCCTTTGTGACCACAGCTCCCCTTACTCCTCTCTCATTCTGCAACAGTTGCACTGGCTCCCTTACTGACTGTCTTACTCAGGACCTTGGTGTTGACGTGCCCACAAATATTAACGTGGCTTTCACACCGCAGTTCAGTGTTTGCTGAGATGTCATCTACTCAGTAAGGCTTACCCTGACAACCTTACATAAAATTTCACCCCTTCCTCCCTACCCTGACCCCTGATTCCTACCTGATTCCTATTACTCCGAACTAATCTTTTTTTAACCATAGCACTTGTAATCTTATAACTAACTGTATAATTTACCAATTTTATTAGATCTTTTGTCTTCTCCCACTCAAATAAGCTTCTCAAAGGCAAACTATTTGTCTGTTTTCTTTCATCGATATATCCTACGTCAATGGGTCTAGTCTCTGAAATAATAAGTGCTCAATAAATACTTGTGGAATTAATTAATTTAACAATAAGTAACTGGAAAAGCAAGACATGACAGTTTTAACATAGTATATGTTCTTATATATAAGTGCTAGAAAAAAAGTATAACTTTTTATAAAAATCAATAAATTTGATTCACAAAAATACATATTTCCCCAATCATACAAAGACTTACAACTGTGTTTCTTCTAAATAAAAATAATAATAAATTCAATTTTTAATAATAATTATTACATGTAAGACAAAAAAAAACAAAACCTCTAACTCTTAAATAATGGTAGTTACCAGATAATTCTTATAAATTATCCTAAAAACAATACCAAAAAGATACTGCTAGCTTCCTTCTATAGATGAGAAAACAGGTTTGGAATGGATAGTTAATTCTCCCAAGGTCTCACAAGCAGCAAAGCTCAGACTTATTTTATACCTAATATCATTTTTCTTCTGTTACACAGAACATCAGTTAAGAGTATGGGCTCTGAGCCAGAAAGATTATATCCAAACCCACTTCAAACCTTAGGTTAATTACATTATTTCTCTGTGCCTCAATCTACTCATCTGTAAATTGGTGATAATAATTGTATAGCCCTCATACAATTTTTAGGATTAAATGAGTTAATGAGCATGTAAATACTCAATAAACACTAGTTATCACCATTATTACTATCTCTCTTAGAGACTATAAATAATTGTAGTCGGGTGCAGTGGCTCACATCTGTAATCCCAGCACTTTGGGAGGCTGAGGCAAGCAGATCACATAAGATCAGGAGTTTGAGACCAGCCTGTCAAACATGTCAAAACCCTGTCTCTACTAAAAATACAAAAATTAGCCAGGTGTGGTGGCATGCACCTGTAATCCCAGCTACTCTGGAAGCTGAGGCAGGAGAATCGCTTGAACCCGAGAGACGGATGTTGCAGTAAGCCAAAATCCAGCACTGCATTCCAGCCTGGGTGACAGAGCAAGACTCTGTCTTAAAAAAAAAAATTCTATAAATAATTATTTTCAGAACTCCTTTTGTGTTACACTCATTTTACATAATTTCCCTTCTTAGTCCTTGTCAGTAAGTTTTGTTCAATGCTGTAAAGAATGATGAGTATTAAAAAATTTGTATTGCTTTATCAAATTTAAGTCCTCAATTCCAGAAATTTCTTTCTGGACTTTCTGTTTCCTAAGAAAAACTGTCCATTTACATGAATTATCACACTGATGAAAGGGTTTTAAACTAAAGAACTACAAAAATCACTTATCTGGTTCTATTCTACTTAGTTTTCTACAGTTTTACTTATAAAATTAAGAAATAACTACTAAAACATCTTACATGTTAAATTGGAGTATTCTTTTTTTAATGATTGTTCACTTGGAGATAAAATTTATTTATTTTTGACCAGGTGCGGTGGCTCACACCTGTAATCCCAGCACTTTGGGAGGCCAAGGCAGGTGGATCACAAGGTCAGGAGTTTGAGACCAGCCTGGCCAATATGGTGAAACTCCATCTCTACTAAAAATACAAAAATTAGACAGGCGTGGTGTTGGGTGCCTGTAGTCCCAGCTACTTGGGAGGCTGA